AAGGATTCTTCTCTGATGGATTACTTCAAAAGCCATGGCAACGAATCATTGTGGTCACGGAACCTGAGAGTAAGTCCTGTATTGTGCAAACTGATCTTATGTTCTTACGTATCCCTCCTTCACACATAGGCCCAAAATGTGACTGCCCTGGAAAGTGAAAACCACGGGTCGGGAAAGCGTTTTTTTGATTTCAAATGCCCGATCTTACAAACACAATATGTGTGGTGAAAACAAATTGTGAATAATGACTGGCAAGAAGCAATGAATAGCTGTTTACCATCATTCGGGTCTTGTCGGTTTCAAGAGTAGTTGGCTTATTCATCCCAGTAATCAAACCATCAACCACCTGCTTGGGTAGCAAAGATCCTAACCTTGAGCAAGAAAGTTTATTAGTCAATGTCGCCTGGGGTTTTCTTAATTTACCTAGCATGTCATCCTCTGGTTCGATCGTTTAGTTATCATGCGCTCCGTTTCGGGATGTGAGTTTTTCCCGCTGGGAATACATTCACTCACCAAATGCACACAGTTATTCTACGCTAAAAATATTTATTTGATTTCCGACACAGTGTTGGAAAGATATATTCCTTTTTTGTTCCGTCTAACCCTTTGGGCCATAAGCGAATACGATTTCGGTCCAAACAAAACATAAGTAGTTTGCTTATTCATCGCGGTAATCAAACCATCAACCACCTGGGTGAACGTTATCTGAATAAGGGTTGACTGCGTATCTGGCAAATTGAGCGATTTACGCATAACTCAAAATTATCTTCATAGGTTGATCAAACCAGCGATAGATGATTCACTTGGAAAACGTGCTTCCGTGCTAAGTAAGTGTACACATCAACCATGTTTCTCAACAAATCAAAAGTTTTTATTTCGAGATTGCGAAAAGTTCAATAGCCTCGGTGGGATTTGAACCCACGCTTGGTCGCGGCCTACGCTTTTGAACAGCGCACGCTGTGCCAGCTGAGCAACGAGGTATATGGCATCCACCAGTTATTATGTAAGATAATCAAGACAAGTTTTCAAACTTGTTTGTGAGCAACTGTTGGTCTATTCCTTTGTGAAATTGCACCTAGGCCTTTTGAAACCTGAAAGATGTCGTCCAGTAAATTTGTCTAACAATTAAAAATAATACTGTTAGTGTAATATTGCTCCAGGAAAGTAAACGACGAATGCAGTGAACTACAACCACAAATATGCGACTCAACAGAACTACAGTAATAATTTAATTAAGTCATAAGTAATAAAATTGCATATTTTTGAGCACTGCGTTGTGTACCGGTGTTTAGGTTTGAATTAGCCCTAAATAAAAGTTGTTTTTCAAAAGCCGAAACATTCAGATCCCGTACTGAATTTGGGCAGAGAAGTCAGAAGAAGTGCATCTCCTGAATTGCCTGTTTAACGGTTGTTTTCTTGTTGCCCATCGTTTCATAAAATACTGCCAAATGACAATCTTCTTTCAGAACCAGACGTTAAACAGTTCACAGCCATTTCTCTGACGAAAACAATCATTGAGGCTGATGTGTTGACCAAGGGTTATTGTCCCTTAACTTACAAGATTCGTGGCGGTCAAATGGTTCGCAGTGAGATGCGTCAATTCATTGGAACCTCATGGGAGATTGTGGTTAGCCAAGATACTGGCGCAGTCATTAACCGAGTCGAAAAGGGCTATTCAGTAAGCGTCTACTACGAAATCCACAACGATCCGGGTTGTGCTGATCGACATATCATATTAACACCCACAGTGAATGGTCACAACATGAGAACAACTGAGTCTAGGCGGCGAGAAGTTGCATTTGGTAAGTACACAAAAGTGATTTTTGAATAATTAACACAGATATCCACGATTTGGTAACCATTTAAAACATATACCTAACACCATAAGATCCACAACTTTGAGAGACAATATTGTGAGTGTTAATTTTATAGTGGTTATAACACAGCGATTTCGGTAGAGAATTATATTCGCCGACGTTTGGGTTACCGTGGGTAACAATAGTTTAATACAACTGTGGAATATTTTTCATTGGCTGCTAACGTATTACAGTTGAAGGTTTGCTCTGGATGGTAGATGGCGATATGCATTTAGCGTAGAACTGTTTACCGATTGCAAATATCATAGGAAGTTTTATTAACTATTCGTTAAACCCGGGGATTTGTTAGGCTGCAGGATACATTGCTTCTTTTTCTGGGAGTGCTTTTGTCAAGCGGTCAACTCCTTAAATTCCTCGATATCAT